GAACCTCCTGCCTTAGCCTCCCAGAGTGGTAGGATTACAAGTGTGAGCCGCTGCCCCCGGCCCCAAATCTTCTAAGTATCTTTTAACCTGTGGTAGTGAACTTTTGTTCATCTCCAAATCTCTGGTTGTGGCTTTTGATGAACATGGGTGAAAACTCTCATGGAGTCGGGTCTGAAGAAGTCAGTGAGAAGGAGGCATTTCTACAGAGGCCAGGAGGAAGACGCTTGGGAATGGGGAATCTTCTGCTAGTGCAATTCCTGGAGATGCTTGCAGAACCCAGGCTGACACTACCTCAGTTTCTACTGGAGCCAGCCACTGACTGCCTGGTCTTCCTCCAGGTAGTAGGGTAGCCAAATTCAGCAAATAAAAGAAATATAGGATGCCCAGTGGAGTTCAGATTTCAGATGAACAACATGTCTGAAATGTACTAAGAGGTATTTATTGCTCACCTGAAATTTAGGCATCCTACATTTATCCGGTAACTCTACCAATTAGACACTTTCTCTTCTGATCCATTGTGGTGGGCGTCCTTTCCCTCCCACATAAAGCCTGCTTTGATGCCAACTCATCCCATGTTTCTTTTTTCTGTTTAACTCTGCAGGGAAAGACAAGTCCACCTGGGATCTGGCACAGGAGGAGGAGGGCACAATTGGAGACTGAGAACCCCAGGGTCATTTGTGAATTGGGTGTTTGTATATAAGGAACTTCACATTGATGGAAAACTCAGTGTATGACATTGCTGGGTGACTGTGTGAGGTGTCAGGATCCTGGCATAAGCTAGGGACTCCCAATGTGTCTCATACATACAAATTTAGAGATGCCATGATCTAAGACAGGAAACACTCAGGTTAGTTGTCAATGAGATAGCTTCGCCAAAGATGTATTGTCTCTGGCCTGAAACTTTTAACTAACTACTTGACCTTTCTGAATTGTTTCCCAGAAATGATGGAATTTCTGTAAGACAAGGAGCTGAGATTTTGAAGGCCAGTAGGCAGCCTTCCTGACACCAAGACTCGCCATTGCCTGCACCCTGCCCAGATGCACATGAAGCTCCTCCTTAAAAAGCCCGTACACTCTTCATTGGGGAGAGGGATTTGAGGCTGATTCCCAGTTCTCCCAAAAGACATTTTTCTTATTAAAAAATTCTTTTCTTCCTTCACAATCCTCATTGCCTTAGTAATTGGCTCTTTGAATGGCATGCACCTGGACCTAGGCCCAAACCCCCTTGCAGTTTCAAAAACACTTTGAGGGGGTGATACTACTAAAATTCCAGGTGCTGGTGGAGGTTGTATTTCTTTTTTTTTGTTGTTTTTTGAGACAGAGTCTCACTATGTTGCTCTTGGTAGAGTGCTGTGGTGTCACAGCTCACAGCAACTACAAATGCTTGGGCTTAAGCTATTCTCTTGCCTCAGCCTCCCAAGTAGCTGGGACTACAGGTGCCCAAACCACTGAGCTATGGATATTAAGCCAGTGGTTATACTTCTTTTTAAGATTTAGATTCTCCCCAAAACAACACAAAAACTACATAGTGCCATAGCTGATAAGTTGGGGAAAAGGAACGATTTCTTTTTACTTTTTCCCCGACATTCCCAAACTTCATATAAATCTCGACACCTCTTCCTCAGCAGCGGAAGAGTGAGGCTGGAAGGTATTTGCTGGAACATCCTTTGCGGGGGTGGGTGCGTGGGAGAGAAATTCAGGAAGATAATTATGCTGTGCCAAGTTAGTTATATTCATCAGGGAGGTCCAGAGGTTTCCAAAGATGACAAACAATGCTGACCTAACCAGTGACAGCAATCACAACCCTCTGTACCTTCACCATGTTGCAGAACATGAAATAGACGAAGCTAAATACCATTATCTCGATCAGCAGGATTCCAGTCAAAATCATCTTCTCTATCCTGCTTCCAGTCACAGAGCCCATGATCGAAGCTGCAGTCAACTGAGATATTTAAATCTGGTTAAAAAAAATAAAAAAGAAAAGAGTACATTTCTTAACCACTAGGAGCATTAGGAAGACATCTAACATTGGAGCTTTGGGAGATGATGCCATGGTTTCAACTGCACAGAGTATAGATCATGGCAACTGAAATGCCCTTAGGCATAGTGTCAGACCAGATAGCCCGTGGTGAGTTAAATCTGTGAAGCTATCCTGAACAAATTCTGTTGTGATCTTTAAAAACTAACACGAAAACACTATTTAAAAAAAAATATGTAATGGGGAAAGATCCCCATGTGCAAAGAAAAACAGAGAATATAAGTAATGGTTTGTAAAATTCAGGCCAGAGAATAAAATTTCTTCTATCCAAATGAACTAGTGAAGACCTTGCCAGAAATTTCTAGATACTTTGTGGAACAAGTTTCATGTAGTCCATGACTTATTGCCAATCATTTAGTACATAAATGCATTAACCATAGTTGCTGTATTGTGTGATTTTTTTTTTTTTTGCAGTTTTTGGCCGGGGCCAGGTTTGAACCCACCACCTCCAGTATATGGGGCCGGCGCCCCACTCTTTTGAGCCACAGGAGCTGCCCTTGTGTGATGTTTTGACATATTGGGGGCCCTTCTAGACCTGGGAAGGGCCTATCCCTCCCAGGGCTAGCCAGTTCCTAGAGATAGCAAACAACTTACCTAGAAGCATGCCACCCCCTTCATCCAATTCTCACACACCAAGCCAATACTGACTCAGGGCCAGGTACTAGATAGTTAGGGACAGCTCCTATGCTCCGATGCATGTCAGGATTATTTAAAGTACCTGTTTGTCCTACCCTGCCTTGTATTTCCTGCAGAAATTGTAATAAAGGTTATGGCTCAGGATTACCCCTCATTCCTGCTTCTGCCTCCTGACCCAAACCCACTGCTTCTTTCCCTGCATGGCATGGCATGGCGTGCCCCTTTTCTTGGGAAATGCCAGCAATAAGTTCTTTTAATGGTATTCACCTCTTCCCCTCGTCCCTGAGTCACCTCTGCAAATTCAAATTCTGCAGGTACAAATGAGACAATAAGTTGCAAAACTTTTTTATTTCATGGTTCCGATGTTTTGGATAGGAATTTGCCACCAGTATTTTGGACCATAGAAACTAACCTGCTGCCAGTTTCTAAATGGCTGGTGACTGCCTTGTTTAGACGCATCGGGGGCACATAAGAGTTGATGCAGCCAGCGTATGTTTTGAGCTGGGCCCGAGTCCCCAATCAGATTGCAATCCAGGGCTGCTGGCACCTGCCCTAAGCTGGCACAGACAAAATGCCCCTTTCCTCCCTCTCCTTTCTTCTTAACCCCCTATTTTTCTTTATGTCAGCAAAGATAATGTATTCCTAGCCCAAGTTTTAAAATGAAAAAATACCTAGTAACAGTAGCTTTCAGACTTCAATATTCTTTCATGAGTACAATAGCTAGTTGGAGAAATTGGTGTTGCCATCCCACAAACAGTGTAACATCGATTTTTCAATCAGTTTATAATCATGGTGGCATGTTTGGCCCAAATTTCTCCATCTTCCTCGTTGTGTCGGATATGGGCTACGCAAACTGGGATAACTTGCACACAAATTCTTCTTGGGGTCTGTTTCTGGGGATCCCAGCCTACAACAGCACCTACAAGGGGACAACTTTGCTCTTATTCCAACATTATGTGTGAAACCAAGTGGATGTCATACATCCAAGTGACTTGCCCAAGGCAAGCAGCAAGTGGTAGAGCCGGGGTGCACACCTGAGTCTTCTGATGGGGCCCGAGTTCTCCAGAACACCTTACTGAAGGACTGACGACATCACAGGGTCATATGCTCATGTGCGAAATTTCGAACATTCTGTGTTTCATTAACGATCGTGGACGGAAAAGTAAACTAAGAAATCTGCTGGTTTGGGGACTCCAAAGAGGAGTTAACTAAGTCCTGCATATCGCTTAGCAAGTGGGAAGCAGAGCTGGGGCAGAACTTGTGAGCACTTGGAGAATGCTGCTATACCTTGAGCTAGGAAACGCTTTCCTCCTAGCCAGGGAAATGGGTTATAAGGTATTTAATGCAGATAGGTAAAAAAGTCGAACGCTTAGGAGAAATGGGGAGGAAATCATTATGCCTGTTGGAGCTGGGTCGTGGGTTATTAGCCTTTAAAGAGTTTTTACTAAAAGCTTCTCAAATTCGGAAGGCTGAACTAGGGAGATACTGTCTTCATAGTGGAGATGGTCCTAGAAACCAAAGGGCTATAACAAGGAAAAGACAAAAGGTAAGTAAAAGAAGGTTTGAAAAGAAAAGAGAAGACCGAGGCATGCATACTTACACCAGGTGCAAGAGAGAAAGAAATATATAAATAGGCTTTTCCCTGAAGTCTGTGTGCAGAGGTCACATATACTCTGTCATGGGTAGTGAATATTTTAAATAACTCTGAGGAATTAGAGATCAGATCCAAGAAATAGCAGATTATGAGCCTTTGGTAGATTGAATCCAATCATGGTCTCAATTTTTATCCCTCCCTGAATCCATGTTCTTTGCATATAACTTTGCAGCTCCTTCCCTAGCCTTGAACTTTAGGCCACCCTGTGACTCGCCTTGGCCAACAGAATGTGGTAGGAGTGATGCTATGCCAGTTCCCTAAAGGTCTTGTGTGCCTCTGTTCTCTTTCTTGGAAAGAGACCAAGACCCAAGCATGAACTAGCATGTTGTGGGGAGAGAGATCACATAGAACTGAGCTGAGTGAGTCCCATTACTCCAATTGAGGCCCCAGGCACGTGCGAGCACATCTGAGATCAGCAAAGCCAGGCAGCAGGCCCCTAGCTGACTGCAGACACATGCGTGACTCAGCCAGCCCAGCTCAGATAGGCAGAACTGCCCCACCAATCCATAGACTCATATGCATCAGGCCACTCAGGGTTTGTGGTTATGTGTTACAAGGACTTCAATACATGGTGATTTTCAGGTTGTGACTTCTCAGACGCTGGAATTGAAGCAAATGAGTATTTTGCTTCTCCATATATCCAGTCTGCCTCAAACCTTCACTGTCAGCATCGGGAGGAGTGGCAGAGAGAAGCAGCCTTACTATGTTAGAATCAGTGGTACTAATCACACAAGGACCTGCTATTTTAATACTGCCACTGTGTGTCACAATGTAACAACTTTTCCCTTGGGAGTTTATGAATGAACCAGTGATTGATAAATAATCATCTTGTCCTATGAAGAAATTGAAAGTGACAAGGGACACCATGAGAGACACTATGTGTGAGAGAGAGAGTTATTACATCTCCAGATAACACCCAGGAGAAAGGCGTTATTTACCTTTGTGTTCTAGCTTGGAAGGTGGTGCTTTTCCTTGGACCAGAACCAGACCCAGTTCACTGGCTTCGTTCACCTTCGGGGCTAAGAAAAAAACACTTGATAAGTTTAGAAAAAAATCAAAAACCCCACATGCTCAAAAGGTTTGAATCCAATGACTGAACAAAGTGGGTTTTATCACATATTCGAGTTACACAATGTCTTAGAGTAGTGTTTCCGAATCATTCACGTTGGTTCTGGTTTCCTCATCTAGAATATCTTTTCCAGATATTCTCTCCGGTAAACTAAGCCTCTACATTACTGACACAACCCTTCTCACCAGGTTTTGGAAATTCACTTTCTTGAGATTTTCACTCTCCATTCAGACAATGTCGTTTGTAAGCTAGGTCTTCCATGGGTGGCTTTGTATCTACATTCCCTTTGATTGAATCCAACTGGCATTTGCCACCGAGTCAAGAACAGACAAGTGAAACTATACAAGGAACAACAAATGCCCATGAGGAATGAACTGGAAAGTCTCAGTGTGGGGCTGCAGGTGCGGTTAATATGGATACCAGCCCAGAGGGGCTGAGCCTCATAGGGAGTTCTTCACACAGCAACCAGGGAAAAGGGGGCTATGACCATTCTCTAGAGCACACAGAAAACTTGAGCTCCACTAGTGAATTTCCACCCCCCTACAATGATCTATTTTGGCTTTTCAAATCGTAACCACAGAACTGTGGGGTTCTCTTTTCCTAGAGTGGGGCTGTAAAAAGATCCTTTAAGAAATGAAAAAGAGGGCGGTGCTCATAGCTCAGTGGGTAGGGCATCAGCCACATACACCCGGGCTGGAGGGTTTGAACCCAGCCTGGGTCTACTAAAACAATGACAACGGCAACAACAACAACAACAACAAATAGCTGGGCATTGTGGTGGGCGCCTGTAGTCCCAGCTACTTGGGAAGCTCAGGCAAGAGAATCGCTTAAGCCCAAGAGTTTGAGGTTGCTGTGAGCTGTGATGCCACGGCACTCTACCTAGGGTGACAGCTTGAGACTCTGTCTCAGGAAAAAAAAAAAAAAAAAGAAATGAAATGAAATGAAAAAGGTAGAGCTTGGCACATTTGCATAGTGAGGGTCCCTCTGATTTGGGGGGTGTGCTACGTGGGGAGCTCAGCAGCTATACACAGTGCCTACAGGATAAGCAGACTTCAGAGCTGGCCGAGACTGGGAAGAGATGGACTGTGTCAAACAGGAAAGCAGCCTGGGTAAGGGAACAGGACTTCCCCTGGTCCCCGGCAGCAGCTTCGACTGGGTATCCATGGGAGCAGATAGTTAGATCTTACAGAGACTGCTGCTTCTTCGGACGTGAGGCCCAATCCATTTTACTTGGGGTGTCCCACTGGCTTTTCCTCTCCTTTCATTTGCCCAGAGACGTCACAATTCCTTTTTCGTAAAATGTATAAAATAACAAAAGTGACACTCACAGAACACATCTCCTCGAAGGCTTCGCTCCTGCTCCACATCGTTCTTCAGGGCTTTCTCTTCGCTCTTCTCTTCCTCAAACTCCTCTTTCATTCGCTCGTCAGTCCCCTCCGCCCCAGGAGAATTCCCCCCTCTGGAAACATTCTCTTCATAGTTGGAGGGCTGCAAGTTAACCTTAGATGTGGGAGTCCCAGCAGGTTCTGGGGTGAGATTTTTAATTTTTACCTTCTTTTTAATGCTGTTTTTGTGAGCAAGCAGCTTCTTGAGTCTGTCTTTGATGGTACCAGGTGCTCTGAGGACTTCCTTTACGGAATTTTCAGGAATGGCTAAAATGAACAATAGCAGATGAAAAGTTCCAGATTGGCTGATAATTAGATCACTCACCAGAAAATGGGGCATTGAAAAAGTACCAAAGTGCAGTAAGTGAATGCTTCCAGAATGAATCCATATGAGGCGCTACCTGTCACTTGATATTTTAGGAAGAACTATATTTACATCTGTTTAAGACAGTTCTGATGTTATGGTAGTTATCTTACCTACTTTTTCATAGACTCCTATACTTTTGGTTTTGCTTCAGAGATTACTCTGGTGAAATATTTACTACTACCCAGTTGAGCTCCAGATCCCAAAGTGATAGAGTACCAGGGCCTCTAATATTTCTGCTTTCATACTGCTATTCCCCTAAACCAGTATTTTCCAGGTAACCCTATAGATTTGTCAAAATTTGATGTTCAAAGATCACAGCTATAGCATTAGTTGAACCACATAAATCGCTAATAATGGGCCTTTTATGAACTACAAAAATGATAACTTATGGTTCAATGTATGCATACCTTACTTTCTTTTATCCTTTTTTGCCTGTTGTTGTTGTTGTTGAGGTAGAGTCCCACTCTGTCACCCCAGGTGAAGTACAGTGGTGTCATCATAGCTCACGGCAACTTCAGATTCCTTGGCTCAGTCTATTCTCCTGCCTCAGCCTCCCATGCAGCTGGGACGAATTTTTCTACTTTTAGTGGAGTCTCATTCTTGCTCAGAGCTGGTCTTGAACTCTTGAAGGGATCCTCCTGCCTTGGCCTCCCAGAGTGTGATTACAGGTGTGAGCCACTCACCCAATCTCCTTCCCCCCTTTACTCCCTCCTTTGAATGTCTTTGCCTCACTCAACCACTATTTAAAGCTAAATGATTTTATTTATTGAATATGTTTTAGATGGGCTTCTACTGTTTTTCCTTCATTTTCCATTTCTCACCACAAAATTAAATTGCTTTTATGGGGAGGGGGTGGGGAAGGGGAGGGGAGAAGGGCGGCCGGGTGGTGGGAGGGTGACCGGAAAGATCACCTATATATCTGTCTAACAAAGGTACAAGTGAACTTTTCTAGAACTAGAATATAAATGCTTTGACATAATGACTAAGCAAATGACATGAAATCTATGTTAACCAGCTTGATGAAAGTATTTCAAATTGTATATGAAAACACTACACTGTACCCCATGTTTGCATTAATGCATACAGTTATCATTTAATAATAATTAAAAAATATATACCTCTAGATTGACTCTTCCTATCCTCCAGTGGATCAATGACCCTTGTGGGGGTGGGGGGAATGACAGTGTGAAAGAACTCAAGAGGTAGAAAGAATATCATTTAACCCAGTACTCTTGTCTCATAGATGGGGCAACTGCGCTTTGTTAAGTGATTTTCCCAAAGTCATTTAGTTGGCTAGAGACAGAGCTAAGATTTGAGGGTATAGGATAAGAATGACTCTTTTTCCAGTCCTGTTTCCATGATAAATTTACTTGTACTTTAAGATGGCTAAAATTTCTTGAGATACATGCCCCCCCTTTCCAGGGAGATCTTCATAATAATTAGGAATATTCAATTGCTGTAAAAAAGTCATTCATTAAAACATTTTTAAACACCAATATTTAAAACTAAAATTTTTTTAGTCCTATTATAAGCTAGCTAAGTATGGGTTGGTCCAAGGATAAGCAAGAAATGGCCTAATAACACTTGAATTAATTCCCTCAATTCTATTACTTGGGTATGGTTTAGAGGAGAATGTAATAAGGGTACTAGACATCAGTTTGATGGCTAAAAAGAATACTATTAAAAAAATTGGAATGGGGTGGTTCTATTAGAATATTGTTCCTGGCAATGCTTTAACTTCTTTTTGAAGATTGAATCATTTGGCTGATTCAATCTGTATTAAAATAGTAAAAAAATAAGCAAGGAAAAGTTCACAATATTTTGGGTAATGAAAAGAGGAAACAATGCTTTGAAAAATATATGTGCTCTTAATTAATACATTGCTTTTACTTTGAAATCAATCTAAGGCTGGTAGATGTATGACCAAAAAGCAATGTTTCTCTTCTCAATGAAACATTCTAGTTATTTATCATTGTGACAGCCTGTACTTCTAGCTATGAAACCAACTAGTCCTAATACAAGTCACACATCATTACTCATTTTCCTGCCCTTCAGATGGCCTGTTTCAGCTCCTATGCCAGGAGTTGCATGTTAAATCTTGATCGTGATATGCTGATCATGTATAGACCTTCCTCTGGAGGCCCCACTGTGTAATTCTTTCCATGGTTACCTGAATCTTTCCCTAGTATTCAGCAAGAAAAATTAACAGGAAATCTGAATTCCCTATAAATTTCCTTTATGCAATCAGTAACATAAAACTAAGGACCTTTAATAACTAAGGAGGAAAGGGTTTCAGCCCACACCACACCAACATAAACATCTGCTTTCAGTTTCTGCTTTGAACTTCCAAATTTTCTTATTGAAAGGAAAAAAAAATCAGGTGGTGCCTGTGGTTCAAAGGAGTAGGGCACTGGCCCCATATGCCGGAGGTAGCGGGTTCAAACCCAGCCCCAGTCAAAAACTGAAAAAAAAAAAAAAAAGAAAAAAAAAAGAAAAGAAAAGAAAGAAAGAAAAAGAAAGAAAAAAATTAAACCATCATAATCTTGGTAGTATCAACAATTTCAGTCCCTCAATATGCAAAGAGAAAGTTGGGCAAGGATAAAAACGGATTCTGAAAATGTGCATATGCATAACGCAATTTGGCTTTATCTAGGTAGTGCTGTTTCAAATTTGTCATCGCTGATGGTTGTCTTTAAAATTGTTTTGATTATTGCATTATATTTTGAAAATATAAAAATATGGGAGGGAGTTGCAGTAGGAGGGCTTTTGGGGTACTCACACATTTGCCCCTAAATATAGGGAATTTCAAAGTCTTCAGGTTCATAGGCCAGTCTTTTGTAGATGAAGTTGACAATTTTTCTTAGGAGGGACTTAAGATTTATCTAAACGTCCACTGTCAAAAACTTCCACCTGCCTGGAAATCCTAATTTTTGTTTCATGCCTTTGGGATTAAGACTTTATTTAGAGAAGATCAATAGATCAATGTTAGGTAAGAATAGCTGACCCCAGGGGAATATGACTTTGACATTTATTCACCTGTGCTCAGTTCATCAGATTGTCTGGGTGGAGAAATGCTTCATTAATATGAGTTTTGGACACAGTCCTGGGAGGAGAGGCTTAACCAGGGATGAGGAATGTACTAGGGAGGGGCTAGGATGGAACAAAAGCTGGACCAGTGGAGTTTGTCAGGAAGGGGACCAGGAGAGTTCTCTATCACAGAGGACTAGTAGTCCTGTGGTTAAGCACACAGTCCAGGAGCCCTTTCTTGAGTTTCTTTTTTTTTTTTT